AGTTATGAACACTCTCTTTGTCTGCTTCTTCACTCTACAGCCCTATTATACCCATCAGAAGCTTCCTGTAATGCTCTTCCATTGGTACTGCCCGAAGCCCTCATCCCTTTTCCCATCACCTCAGTGATAAACACCCACACAAGAAGTTTATTTGCAAAAAATACATGCAAAATTTCTGAATGCCCCAGGGTACAACAGCAAGCAGAAAAATATAAAATAAGATGGGGCGCTGTCCCTGCCTCCTCATTTTAGCTATCATTTTGGCACATGCCAGAACATTACCCAAAGCAAAACATCACCAGGTAACAAACAGAGATTTGCATGCAATTCCAGCAGTGGGCATGACCACAGGCTCTGATCAGTGCAAGTTATTCCTTCCGAGGATCTTCACAAACCACATCTTTGCACACTAGCTGCACAATAAACGGCTGCAAGATCTAATGTCATTTGTAGTTTTAATTGGATTATCAATTGGCATGACATAGTAGTTGATGTTTCTGCACAAAAACGAATTTATTACAATGATGTAGAACTCAGAGCAGAAGTATGCTTTGAAGTTTCTGTGCTTGATCAGCAGATTCAAATCCCTTGTTGCCAGATTGGCATAAATTGCTAGCCGGTCCCTTCCCAAGTGACAAGCTTTGACTATCTCTCCTGGCAGCAGTAACTAGTCATGTACCAATTAAATGTGCATCCTTTCCAACAGCAGCTTCACGAACACCCAAATAGAGTTTCTTTAGATGTTACAACCCTCTCATTCCAGAAGTCAGTCTTTTTAAAATGTCAGGGAAGATATCCTCAGCTTTCCCTAACATGAAAAAACACTTCCAAAATGTGCACTGAAGAAAGAAGGGTGAAGGTAAAATAAAGACAGAACTGCAAAGTACAAGTCGAAATTATTTTTCAGCTATCTTTAAAAATTTCTATTTTTATGTGCAATGCTTTCTTTCATGCTCTTTAGGTCTATCTCTGCTCACTTTAAGATCAAACTGGCTTTTTTTGCCAGCAATTCACTTAAAGCCTGTTTTCTGCCACCACTCTCCCTCCCCACCTGCAGGCAAGCAGGAATCTGGGCCCCACAAGACAACTGTGGCGTGGGTGTTATTGGCTGTCTGTTTTGGCAGCCTCTCATCCTTTCTTCCAGCTCTGTTTTGAAATACAATCTAAATTAAAAAAAAAAAAAAAATTAGACATTCCTGCTCCTCTCTACTCACATCAGCAGTGCTCCCACTGCCACAGCGTAAAGCATGGCTGCCAAAGGAGCGGCACCGTGCAAGTTGGCCGATATATCACAAATGTTCGACAAAGAAAACACGTACTCCAAGAAAAGGTACATACTGCAGGAGTGGCAGAGGAAGGCAAGAGGTGAAAACCAGGGCAGAGAGGGCCAAGAGGGCTTTGTGGACTGCCTTACTTTAACAAGGGGAGTAAAGAGAAGAGAAAAATCTCGCTCCAGAGCTGACTCTCTCCCACATTTAATAGCATTAGGTTCTAACATGTAATTTGCACTCAAAGACTAATTCTTTTCTGTGGTTTGATGGATATTAGCATCCCTTTCTTTTTTCTTCTTTAATAATGTATTACATAACATTCTGATACACTAATTACCATCTCATGTCATAGCAATTTTATTAAGAGCTTATACTTACAAATACCCATTCTGAAAGGATTTCAGGACTTTTTTTCTAATTTTCTCTGAACTGCACTTGTTGAAGCATTGGCAACATGGTCTGATGCCACCTAATGTAGCTTCCAGTAACAAACAACACATCTCTACACAAAGATCTCATGAGCCCTAGGAGTTAGGCATGGATTCTTCTTGTGTTTAGTCTCAAAGACTTGTAAACAAGTTACTTATAGCACACTAGGTTGTGACAGAACACTGGTAACATAGCTCTGTTAGGTTCCTGTACCTGCTACAGTTCCAATTCCAGAAGCAATGCCAAAAGAGAAAAATTCCTTTATACCAAGTAATGGAAAATTTGTTAACTATTCTGCAGTTAGTGTTTGCTCATTACTATGCTATCATTTCACCAGGCAAATCTTGGTACCATGAGGTATTTTTCTGTATAAAATTGCTAATGCCATCAGGATTGTCCAAATGGGATCATCATCATTAAAAAGATTACACGGTAAGGAAAGTGATTACATCAAACTCTGAGTAGAAGGATTACTAATCACAAGTAGAATACTGGTACAAATCTCATTCTCTGTATACAAGAAAGGACACAAAACCTTTTAAACATAATTTATATACATTTATGGCTTTATACAACAAATTGTCAGGGATTGTTCTCATGTGTCTGTAGAAGTACATCAGGCACTTTTTCTGAAAATATCCACATATGAATTTTAATTTTGCAATGTGACTAAGTCAGAGCAGTGAAGCGTTGAAGAGCTGTCACACCACTCACAAATAGAACTAGCAGTATGTACATGCCAATCTTTCATAATATTGCTGGTTTGTGGAACACCTTCAAAAAAGAGGCCAGTTTTAATGTTGAATAATTTGCTTTTTGCTTGCATAAACCATGCTGCATCTTATATTATGATTACCATAATAATAATAATAATGAGAATACCTTATTTAAAATCAGTCATAAATTAAGAATCCTAGCAATTTCATAATGAAAATAGGAATTTCAAATCAGTAAAAAAATAAAAAAGTACTAACATACATCCAGTGGTTTAACAAGTGCAAATTTTATACTGTTTTATAATTGGTCCAATTTTAACTTCTCAGGGATGCTCTGTTGACTTAAGCCAATAATAAGCAATATGATTTTTGCTTATAAGTGTAGGCAAATTGTCAGTTTATCAAAGCAGAGCTTTCCAATTAATGCATCGACTACCTAAACATATATCATATAGCTATATTATGGAAACAATACATCTTTATATTTAAAATATCTGAACAGCTCTATAATACAATAAACTTTTAATAACAGTACAAACCAGAGAAAGTCAAAAACAAGGCTGCATAGGTAAGATCATCTGCACAATTCACAAACCAATCATTTACAACAATTCTGACAATTACTCCAGAAACTTGGTACTTTTACTGAAAAAGGATTTATTACTAGAGGTCACATAATGTTTGTTTTCAAGGCAGACAACATGCTCCTTCACCAAACGTCACAGTATTCCAGAATTACAACTGCAAAATAATAAAATGGCACCACCAAAAAAACAACAAAAAAAATTGACCACACATCCAAACCTCTGATTATCTACAACTGTTTTCTCACGATAATCAAAAGGGCTTCCTACAGACTGCTGTAATTAGGGAACGGCTACATTTATGTTATTCATAGTTATAAAAGGAAAAGAATAAAATATATGTTTACAGGAAGTTATACAGTAGCAGTAAATAATAAAAAGGAGGTATATTGTTAAATGTAGCATGTTCAACTGCATCCCCATGGAGTACTGCTTTCTTTGCATGCAGAGGTGAATTTTATGACTACTTTGGCCTATGTGTATCAGTGCCTATTTGGGAGCAAACATTTTTTGCACACACAGCAGAAAGAAGGATCTTCAGAAACCTATATGTGAGACTTTCACTTGCTCCACTGCCAGTATTTACTGTCATGTTTCAGAGACTATGAATTTGATGGTGAAGATCCTACTAGAGATATCTGCCTGTAAAAGCAGGTGGCTTCACTGAGGCTTTGGCACTAAGAACATTTGATTTTGCTCAAAACAAGTTCAAAGACTGATTTCACGCTGGGGGAGATCCTGTATCACAGGACAGCTTAACATCAGTCTCTGGAAGTGCTGACAATCATAATAGTATATCTAAAAAAGTAGGACCAGCTGTAATTAGTAATGATTTAAGCCCAACAGGGAGCTAAATGCTAGCACATCAATAAATACATTGCAGAACCCTAGGAAAGTCATAACAGGATCATTAAATATATGGCTTGTTACTAAACTTCATCTACTTGGCACATCCTGTTTCTTTCTGCACCATACATCCTCACTACAGGGAAGATAAATCTCAGTTAGAACATTTTCCAGTTATGAGCTATGTAGACAAAAGAAAATTCAGTGTAAAAATATTTGATTCTCCCCTTCATAAAAGCCAGCCCTAGCACAAAAGCTGTTCATCCTGTCAGTGCATAAGAAAGCTCCAAGGATTTCTATAACACAAATGTTGTGTAGCAACCAGTGAAAAGACAGGTGAGGCCTGTTATCCATACATCCATAAAAACTGCATCGTGCAATTACAAAAATCAGAAGTCGTGTATTCCAAGACCCACTCCTGAAAATGCTCTGGTAGCTGTCAGTGTGCCTACTCCAACAAGAGTAAGTTTTTCCACAGAAACAAGATCTCTCTCATTAATGCTTTCCCCTACCCTAAAGCTCATGCATTTGTATAAGTTTGCAACTTACTTTATCTTTCTTCTTAAAAAACAAAACAAAACAAAACAAAACAAAAACCCAACAAAACAACATAATGTTTTGTCCCGCAATAAGGCGTCACAGAAATTTTAGCCTCCCACTCTAAGGTAGCATTTTTTCCTCTTCAAATGTACTGCTTTACAACAGAAACACTGATGAACCCAAAACTAGTGCTAATTTTGACAAATGACAATTTTGTCGTTAATTTTACTACAATTACGAGTTTTCCACAAAAAGGTCCTGCTCTTGAGTGCACAAACATTATGAGACCTCCATGAAATAAATATAAATGTGAAGCATTGTACAAGCATCTTAACAATGAATACTTAACACTTTGTGGTAGTCAGAGTGAAAATGATAATAAAAGCAGATGACATTTCTAAAACTGCATATATAAAACTGATTAAATACTTCCTAAACATAAAGTTGTCTATATTTATACATCACACAACAAAAAAAAGGGATGTCAAAACAGAAATGTTTTGTATTCAAGATCCTTATTAAGCTTTTTCTTTATTAGCACTCCCAAGTGCTACGGAAATTTATAAAAACATGTACTTAATCCAGTTAAAATACTGTACAAAATTAAGAGGTTATGAATGCTGCCAGATCTCAGATTTATTTTCTTTTTAAGTTGCCTATGTAACAAAAGTAGATTTTAATTATAAGAAAAATAGCTTGGAAAGTATTCCAAAAATCATCTTAAGCCCAACAATAAAGTCATTAGTCTGACAATGAAATATATTCTTGCATAAATTTTCACGAATACAGGTAACTTACCAAATGGCATTTAACCTACAGTTTGCCTTGAAAAGTCAGTGAGTTTAGTAGGATCGTATTTAACAGGCTATTCTATTCCCATATGAAATGTGTGGCAATTTTGAGTAAAATAATGCAGTTCATACTGCTGCAAGGCAAGTCCACAGTTATCTCAATTCATCAAAACACAGGTAACATCAACAAAGGTTAAACTTACTTAGGGCATGAGATCATCACAGTATTCTTACAAAACTTTATAAATTTTTCTTGGACCAAAACAGATAGTCTTAGAAAACAATTCTTCTTCTACAGATCATACTGTACAAAACCGAAAGCACGACATGATGTAAGTAAGAGTCTTTGCTGTGATTATATGGTGTAGTGAATTTGGCACTTCAGAGTAATGAAATTTCCAATGGCACAGTTCTTATCTACAGCAGCACATAACCTGCAAACCTTGGGCAAACATCCTGTACAGGAAAATATTCTCTCTGCTGCCAACTCTGACGAAAGGAAGAAAAAAAGAAAAAAAAAAAAAAAGACTCAAAAAAAAGTTAGTGCATGCGCACAGCTTTGTCAAGAAAATTAAAAAGAAAGGTGAAGGACGTCTTTGTACTGCTTTTCTCAGTTCCTGCTGTCAGACAAGTCTGGAGAATTTAACCATCACCTAGGAAGAAAGAAAAAACAACAAAAAGAACAAATTAACATTAACACCAGGAGATTAAATCTATTAAAATTTGCTCAAACTATCTTTAAGATACCTTAAATGGGGAAAAAAATTTTATTCATTACTGGCTAGTTACCAGCAAGTTTTTTGGTTTAAAACATCAATGACAAAATATAAATGCTCTACAAGAAGTAACAGAAGTTGTTACACAACAATCCTAATGCACCAACCAGTGCAAACCTGATTTTCAAACTAACAAAGAACTGGAAAGAGACTGACTGTTATATAGAGGCAGTTCACATGCCAACACAGAAGACCTCCCAGATTTTAAGCATTTTGACATCTTTTTTTCCCTTTAGCTCTTTTGCAGATTTATCAGAAAAAGCACAGCTTACCTCCTACTACATCCTAGCCTGACACCCAACTGTGTGTGGTTGTCTTTACGCTGTGCTGAAAACTTTGGTTAGGCAATACACTGTCAAAGTTAAAATCTAATGTTTCTCCATCCATAAGGTCATTACGGATAATCGAATCCATGTCACAATCCAACCGTTCAATTAACATGTCATCTAAGTCACTGGGAAGCTTCTCCTGGTGGAGGGAAACAATTCCCACCCTTCCGTAGCCGTTGCAGCTGTTAACGGGGGCATACGGATTCATAGCATTCATCTGCATTGGGTGACTCATAGGCACTTGTAACGAAGTCTTCACTGTCGACAAGCGATTTAGACCTGAAGTGTGTGACATGGTGTTCACTGTGTGTGACAAGGCACGGCCATTAACCGCAGGTGTTGGCTGGTTATGTCCTTGGTGAGGGCGGGCATTAGGGTTCATCATTTTGTTGTGGGGTGGTTGGCTGCCATAAGTTGGCATCACTGAGTTAGTGACCATCAGCACACTTTGGCCCAGCGCCCTGCCACCAGCCTGGGAAACACCAGTGTCTACTGATGCCAAGATGTCATTGTGCGGCGGAGAATCGGAAGTCAGTAACTCCTTCAAAAGTCCAGGATAGTTATATTGGCTCATCGATCCATAGCTTGATTTACTGTCTTGGAGAGTCTGCATAGGAATCTGGGACAAAGAGTTCATGCTAGCTTGAGCATAAGTAAATTTCCTGTAGTCTGGATTTGGTGAGCCTATACTTGTGGTTGAGGATGCAAATGAGTAACCTGGTGTTTGCTGCATCAGGGTAGCAGATGAAGACTGGGTTGACACAGTCATTGATGTATTAGGTGACAAGAGATTAAGATTATCCAAAAGATTTTCCATGTTCTCAGAATTACTCATCTCTGAAAGGCTGGGTAGAGTAGAAGTCATTTTGGTTGCTGATGATGGGTATACCACGGAGTGCACATCCCCATCTCCAAGATCATCTTGCTCTGGCAAAATAGGAGAAAGTCTTCCACTAATTGTACTAGCATTAGAGCTAGTTCTAGGTCGAAATGTACTCCAGTTATCGAAGTCATCGTTACTGTGAGAGCTGGGACTTGCAGGCCACTTTGAGAACTGTGATCCAGGGCTGTCACCATTTCCCTCTTGACCAGACTGAAGGGCTGCTTTTTTCTTGGCAGCTCTGCCTCTGCTTTTGGCAAACTTGCTGTTGTTATCCATGGACGCTGCTCGCCTCCTAGGAGATTTGCCACTCTTTCCTCCTTCAGGATTGAGCATCCACCAGGAACTCTTCCCTGTTCCCTCATTCTGCACTCTGATGAACTTGCTGTGCAGAGATAAGTTGTGACGGATTGAATTCTGAAAAACAGAATAGCATTTAAGAAATAGAGAAAATATGCATCTTTTATGGCATACTAATATTTGCTTTTCTAAACATACTCTCATTTTGTTAGAAATACAGGGGTAATCATAAAATAAGAAAACATGCCAGTATGGAAACATCTTTTATCAGCTCACCACTCTGAACTGGCCGAAACAAGATTGCAAAGAGTCGCCATGTCAATTTGTCTGTCATCTGGCCCAATCACATCTGACATTATAAAAAGTCAAATAAAACACTGAAGGAACTGTTCTGAAATAAAAATTCTTCATAAAGGAGACTAAATAAACCAGAAGACCAAGAAGATGACTGAAGATCTCATTATCAGCTTCACTCTAATGAATTGAACCTGACCGTATTTTTGGATTTTTTTTTAATTATTATTTTACACAAAGTTCAGGAATGCTAAATCCTGTTCTATGGTCTTAATAATGGATTCTCATCCTGCACATCACTAAATCCTGAAAACTTGCAACATGCAAACTGTGGCTATTGCCACTGAGCATTAGTGAGGTTCATATTTCTTGTGTTATACGAGAAAATACATATAGAAAACAAGTTCAGGATTAAGTTCTAATTTTTAAAAATAAACATCACAAATTGCCTATTAAATCATAAGAGAGGACGGAATGCAAAGAGCATAGACATGTAAACACGAAAACCTCAGTCTTAAAACCATCTTTTTCTTCTAAAATCAACATTTTAAATATGCAAGATTGACTCTTCTAATATCTGAGGGCATCAGATATCTTGTGCCAAGAATGACCAGAGGTACTGGAGCTTTCTGTTACCTCCTCAGCCATAAGTAATGTTTCACGGTTTGTTCTTAAATAATAATAATAATAATAATTAAAAAAAAATCCAAAATGGAAGCCCACAGGTTGACCTGTTAATAAGAGACTAAACTGTGCTTTACCTGGCTGTAGATGAACATATTTTTCCTCATATAATTTTCTCCTGAGCACATGTAAAAAACATTGTTTCAACAGAAAAGCTTTCTGAGCATGGTCTACGTGGAGATCCACCTAGATTGTCTGTGCTAAGATGGTGACTTTTGGAGAACAAGTACGAGGGAACCATAAAACAACACATGAAACATATAAACCAGAAATTAGACCTCCAGTGGCAGAGAAATCAGTGATTCGCTACCCGCCTTCCATTCTTGGTAACTTTCAGCAAGTTGTCTAAAGAACTTTTGGGAGAGCCAAAATGGAAAGATTGTGTCTAGAAAGCACTAGAGTAAGGTAGATCTTCACCAAAAACCCAGTAGACCAATTATGTCAAAACAGTAAATGGCTACCAGACCAACAAACACCCCGTTCTGTATTTTCTGTTTTCTCATCTATTAACTCCTATCTGTCTTCTCTTAAGTTTTTAACCTGACACCCAACATCCACTACAGCACCAAACCATGAGGATGATACAGCTCATGGACCTTTTTATGCCTTATGTGGCAAATCAGAGGACGAGGGACACAGCCACCGCTCTGGTCTCCGGCTGCTTTTGCTGAATTTCCCAGCCCAGAGTGCTGCCTGCGACAGTAGCATCTTCAGAAATGTCTCCTTCCTTCCCTTTCACTTCTCTACATCAACTTTCTCAAAGATGCGTATCTTTCCCCATACGTCTGGCTGACAGAAGAAAGGAGCAAAGACCATAAGTAAGCATGCAAGATGAAAACAGTTATCTCATGGGCCCTGGCTCAAATCAGAGACAACAGGCTGAAATTCCCTACAAGAGACGTGACATATTTTGGACCACAGAAGACCAACCAGCCAAAGCAGGACTGACCACCTGCAGAGCTTAACAGCAGTGGTTACTCTGGGGTCAAAGATGAAACCTTCAGTAGGTGAGGGCAGCAAGGAGGTCTTACAGTCCTGCAACACCTTACAGGCACCAGTGTCTCGAGACTACCCCCTCCCACCCCAAGAAGCTCAGCTTCACTCCAAACAGGGGCACAATACACTCCCTGACAGCAGATGATGGCAGAGCATGGCCTTAAGGCAGCTGGCTGTTCAACCAGCACAGCAACGAGTCAAACCATGTACCTAAACTCAGAAGCATTTCCAACCAAATTATCAAGTAGGACTGAATCTCTTCATTGCAGGTAACTCTGCAATCAAAATACTATCCTCAATCTAGCGACGGGTGTTAGGGAAAGCCTTGGAATTTTATTTGCACCAGGTGCAGCTAACACAAGGAGAGGGTAAGCCTGAAAATCCATCTTTGGACTTGCCCACGGCCTCAGGGGTTGGCCGACAAAGCCTTGTGAGGCTCGCCTGGCGCAGCCTGTTGTTTTCACTCAAAGGGCCACAGCAGAATCCCTGGCTGACACAAGTCCAGCTCTAGAAATGTCGCAAGAAAGTTGTTCTGCACGGCTGTTGATTAAAAAACCTCCTGCGCCAGTTCATTTTTTTACTGTATTTTGTAAACATACCCAGTTGGCTCAGGATCACTGTTTACTATCAAAATAGGCATATTAAACACACGAAATACCAGGCAGGGAAAACACCGAGATGAGGCTCAGCTCCCTTTGCTCTGCAACACAAGTGTTAAATATTTAAGATGCTATTCCTTAGTCATCAAAAATGTTATAATCTGGTATTATTGTACCGAGGACATTTGAGGTCGCTCTTTGAGTAACAGAGCTGTCTCCTAACTCTGCCAGCAACGAAAAAAAATTTTCCTAACAGGAAAAGGTTTGCGGCCCAGAGCTTGTTACATAAATTCCTGTTTTTCACGCAGCCAGCAGGACATTAGAGAAGCTATGATTTACTAACTTGGAAAAAGTGTTGAAGAGGTAAATCTTGTGAAAATATGCACTGCTGTTAATGATGTTGTGTCTACAGATCTGTGCCAGATGTAAACACAACCTGATAAAAAAGTATAGTTTCAGCAGTGGATCTTGGCCGCCAGAGGAACAGCGTGGCTGTCAGTGGCTGGGGCACACGGTGGCACCACCAACCCCAGCACACTGCAAGATGCCTTCAATCATGACTTTCGTCTGGACTTTGAAGCAAAGCCTCCCAAAACCTAGCCTGAACGACTCCAAAAGCAACCATCTGCATTTTGAGGTGGATCTCTGCACAGCAGTGATGCATGACAGATCACATGGAGAATAACCATGCTGGAATTTTATCCCAACCTGGGTCGGGAGGGCAGCAGGCTGCTCCCACCTGTGGAGTGCTTCCTGGGATTGAGTTTCCACCTCTGGGATAAAGTGAACTTACTTCATACCATACTTCAGCATTCAGACCAGAAACTATGGATATGCTTATTGTTACTTGTTGATTTAAGATTCCAAATATGCAAAACCAGTATCTGCTACGTGCAATGCGATGAGCCCATACCAGCTAATAGAACCTGTGAAGCCAAGAAAATTATTCCTTGAATCTACACATTTATATCATTCATCTGCATTTCCAACATTTCCAACAGCTCTACTGATATCTAATACTGCATTTAAACCCAATATTAATTATTAAAACTGGGAGGCCATAGGAGCAACACTGCTTCCATAACACATACGTCAAGAATTTCTATTAAAATTAACAGTCTAATGACTGCCCACTAAGTTTTCATTTAGAAGACATCACAGCAGTCCACTGCTTTCTACAGCCAATCCAAGGGGATAGTCCACAGAAGTTGCCAGTCAGTTTACTCCACTATCAGCTGAAATTACTTCAAATACAGACTGGGTCACAATACTTGACTGCAGTTCTCAGATCTCTTCAAACAATATCTGAAACAGATTTGGAGGTTGAAGAGAAACTTTCAGGAACACAATACTCAAGACTGCTTCTGCAGAAGAGGGGAGGTTGCTTATTTATTTATTTTAACTGATAGCTGGAGGATACTGCAATAGGAGCATGGTCAGGAAAGAAAGTCAGGGTCGAGGACTAGTAGGACAGAAGGTCAGAGACTCACCAGTTAATATCATCACTGTTGAGAGGTGTCTGCTGTGATTAGTGGTGACTGGCACATGAGTCAGCTGTCCTGATGCTGATGTCCTGATACTGACAGCTTATAAAAGGATTTTGAACAGCAGAATCTCCCCATGGAGACACCACCAAAGCAAAAGCTTTGCAGTAGAGAAGTGAAGACCCCAGATTTCCATATGCTGTTACAGAAGACATCAGACCTGTCTCTAGGTCTTTGTATGGGGACTCCATAGCAGGTCCAGTTGTTCAAATCATCCTCCTCTTGAAGCCTCAGTGGCAAGCACCACTCCAAAAAAGAAGCAATTAAAACTTCTAGGAAAGTGTGCAAAGGACAGGAAGTTGTCTAGCATACTTGTTCAGGGTTTGTTCAGCAGTAAGAACCAGACAGCAGCAGCAGGGGCTAGTCATGGCAAGTAGCACCACGTAGCATCTATGCAAGGCTAAGTTAGACAGTGCCTGGCAAAACAGGCAGGTCTGCTGCACCCGTTTTGCTGTGGTTTCCAACTGTTCTGCCAAGTTTTCAGGGGCTGGGTGAAGAGGCCAAGGAGGAAAGAGAACATTGGTAACTCCAGACCTACCAGAATTCCCTTTGGTCCAAGAGGCTGGTGTAAGGCAATCCTGTTTGTCTTATCTAATATCAATGAACTACAAGAACTTCAGATGCAGATGCTGCACGTGGAGCTTGGATTTCCCACAAGCTTGTGTTGGACACTCAAAAGCGATTGGTCAACAGACAGCACATAACATGTTCATGAAATAGCCTTAGTCACATTTCTCTCTCAGAAGCGTTCCTGATATTACAGTATTCACTAACACAACCACACATTTGTCAGAGGCTTCAGATGCTAACAAAATAGCTAATTTTGCCACCCAGTCATGGCCTACTTTGATTACAGCTCAGAAACCTTCTCTGTTGTCTGATAAGAGCATGGACTGAAAGCATGACGCTTAGCCTCAAGCCAAAGAGTTGTATTTAGAAAGATGCTGGAAATTTGCCACCTGCAGCTGCATGCAGGTGGAAGGGCAGGATTTCCTCCCAA